ATATAAAATATAAATTAAATAATATAACATATAAAATCGAGATTTTTTTCACGGAAATCGTACGTTTTTCTTTAACTTTGATGTCCGTTTTCACCACGAAGACAAGTCCAGAGGTCAAATTTTTTTTTTTCAAATTAAAGTATATTACATAAGCTTTAATTTAAGATATATATAAAAGTGTCAGTCTTTCCGGAACATTTTCAAAAGTTAAGTTGAAAAAGTTCTACTTTCTATACGCATTTTAAAAGGTTTGCACCCCCCCTGTATAAAGGGAAAAAGTTCCGATTTAAAAAAAAAGTATGTCGAATGAAAGAGGTAAATATAGAGTATTTATTGTTAAAGAATAGAATTAATTCATGCATTTTTTAAAAAGTTATAGCATCATAATGTTAAAAAATAAAAATATAATATCAAGAATTTTTTCAAAAAAATAGCATATTTTTGCATACGGTAGTCATTTTCACCATGAAGACAAGTCCAGAGGTCAAATTTTTTTTTTTCAAATTAAAGTATATTACATTAGCTTTAATTTAAGGTATATATAAAATTGTCAGTCTTTCCGGAACATTTTCAAAAGTTAAGTTGAAAAAGTTAATTTTTTGTAAAAAAGCTACCATTTTGAAACCCTTCCTGTGGGCTGTTAAAGGGTCAAATGTTCACAAAAATATATAAAATGATAGGTAAATATTTAAGGTATCTATAAAAAAAAAAATTATATTGATTCGATCATTTTTAAAAAAGTTATGGCAATTTTAAGTAAAAAAAAATGAAAAAATATAGAAAATTAGCGATTTTTAAATTTGTAATTTTTTGGGGGATTTCCCCCGTTTACGGGGAACGAAGAAAATTTTTTCAATTTTGAAGGGTAATTTCTTCGATTAGATACGATTTGTGATCTTTTGACGTATCATTAAAAGAAATCGGTTCGGCGAGAGCTGAGAAAATGTGGTAACAGACACAAAAAATAATAATAATAAACACATCATGGTAAAATAAATACCTTCTCAGCTTCGCATCGAAGCTAAGCTTCGGTGCTTGTAGTACTTTGGAATTCAACAGATCAAACCACGCATCTATGATATCTTGTAGAATTTACCTTTCAGCCTCATTGGAATTCTTTTATTGCATAAGACGTCAGATGTTTTTCTCCACTTCAACCAACAATACTTAATCCTGTGTCTTACATCCTTTTGCACAACTGACCCTAAATACTTAAAACTCTCCACCTCTTCAATCACGTCCTCGCCTTTTGTCACTAACCTACTCATTTCACCTTTCTCGTGTTCTCCTTTGTCAAACTCGTACTCTATATACTCAATCTTACTTCTACTTATTCTTAAACCCTTTTCTTTAAGAGCTGATCTCTACACTTTTAGCCTTTGATTAATTCTCTCCCTATTTTCTCTTATTAACACTATATCATTAGCAAACAACATATACCATGGCTCCTCTCCTTGTATTTCTCTAGTTATTTCATCCATCATTGTAGAGAATAAGTAAGGGCTTAAAGCAGAACCTTGGTGCACTTCTAATCTAACCCGAATACCTTCTGATACTCCTCCTACGCTTTTTACCCTGCTAAAAGTGCCATCGTATCATACCCTTCTCCAAATCTATAAATACCATACACAGCTTTTTCATTTTCCCCTAAAATTTTCTATTAGTGTCCTCACATAAAACAATGGCTCCATTGTTGACTTATCAAGCATAAATCCAAAATATAAATCTGTCTATCTTATGACCTTTTCCCAAATTTTCATACTATGACTCATAAGCTTTATGCTTCTATAATTTCGAAACTCCTGTATGTCATCTTTACCTTTAAATATCGGCACCATAATACTATTCCTCCATTCATTTCGAATTTTCCCTTCTAATAAGATTTTATTTATAAGTTCCTTCAAACACCTTATACCAACATTGCCTAATAGTTTCCATACTTTTACTGGCACTTCATCTGGCCCTACTGCTTTATTCTTTTTCATTGATGCCACAGCCATACCTCTTTCTCATTAATTAAATCTACCAGTCCTTTATTCCAAGAGATATCCTTTAATGTTTCTTTTGGGACTCCTCATTCAGTAATTTTTCAAAATACTCTTTCCACCTTTTTTTCATATTATCACCGCTCGAGATTACCTTATTATCAACACTTTTTATACAACTCATATAATGATAATCTTTAGACCTTTTCTCTCTTACTTTTGCAAGTCTATAGGTTTCTTTCTCGCCTTCCTTTGTTCCTAGCCTATCATACAACTCATCGTACCTCTTAAACTTCGCCTTACTTACTGCAAAATGGGCTTCTTTGCATAAGCGATTATTTTTGAATTGCTTTTTCTTACTTGCTATGATTTTTTGAACGTCTTCATACCACCACCATGTTTCCTTGTTTCCTGACAATCTACCCCTACTCTTACCAACAATCTCCTTTGCAGTATTCTTTACACAATTAGCAAATTTATTCCACACATCATTCATGTTTTCTTCGATATTCCATACCGTCCTAACTTTTACCATCTTTACAAACTCTTTTTCGTTTTCCCCTTTCAATTTCGACCACCGGATCTTCGATTTACCCCAGTGTTCCTTCTATTTTTGTATATTCTCTATCCGGTACACCACAACACCACTACCATCAGTCTATGTTGTGTAGTTACACTCTTGCTTAGTATAACTTTACAATCTTTTACTCGCTTTACGCTCTCTCTCTTCCATATAAAATAATCACACTGTGATCTATTCTTCCTACTCTTATAAGTTATATAATGATCTTCCCTTTATCTAAAATAAGTATTGACCACAGTATGATCACACGATACTGCAAAATCCAGTATTCTTTCTCCAGCCTCATTCTTCCCACTAAAACCATATCCTCCATGTACTCTTTCGTATCCTCTCCTCTCATTACCTACATGTCCATTTATATCTCCACCTATCACCGCATCCTCATTGCCGGGTACGTCTTGCATCATCTCATCCATCTCTCTCCAAAACTCTTCCTTATCTATTTCATCACATCCCACTTATGGTGCATAGGCATTTATTACATTCAACACTTTTTCTTCGAATATCAATTTTACGACCATAATTCTATCACTTTTCCTAGCTACTTCTACTACTTTACTTTTCATCTCTTCATCCATTATTATCCCTATACCATTTTTTGTACTAGACTTGCTTGAGTATAATATTTTTTAACCCTCACCTATTTCCCTCGATTTCTCTCCTTTCTACTTAGTTTCCTGCACACAACATATGGTAACTTTTCTCCTCTTCAATACTTCTATCAGTTAATGTTGCAACAAAACAAGTACCTTATCTTACTTTGTATCTATCTTTCTCCCTTATACACGAATCCAGCCTAGAGTTAAGTGGTGATGTTCGTACACCGTTGACACTACAAGAGTTGGGTAGACACAGATCTACCTAAGGAATAAAGTGTTTGATACCGGATGGTATCAAACATTTTATTCCTTAGGCTTTCTCCGTTTTTAACTACTCTATTCCCTCTCGCCTGTTGTCCTCACGTACAACGTAGATGGGAAAATTCGCTTAAGTTTTGTTCAGGACACCTCATACTATCCTGAAAATATTAAGAAATAATCATTTATTAGCTATTAATTATTTTTAGCAACATTTCTTATAGCTCATAGAGGTGTCACCATTATTTTATTATATTGCAAAATACAAAATAATTATCTTATAAAATAGAAAGTGATCTAATTAATAAAATGACTGATAGATAACAATTTTTGTACTCGTACTTTAAAAGTCATGATGATTATTTATATAGACCAGAGGAGAGATACAGCAGTGACTATTTATGTTATTAGCAATGCTATAATAAGAACTAATAGCGCTCATAACAATGAATAAAATTGTGCCCCGAAAAATCAATTTGTTGTAATTACTTGTAATTTGTTGTTCAACACTTAAAAAAATCTATTAATTTAAAAGAAATGCTCTGTAGTTAGTAGTACAACTATCTCTTATAAAAAGTAAAGTAACAGTAAAGGGGACAATTGCCTCTTCCTTGGGCCTGTGTGTTAATATTTTGAAAACCAATATTTACGAAATAAGACTTTCAAGAGTCACCTTGATCTTTAGCAAAAAATATTTCTCTAACATGCTTACCAAAATAAAAAAACATAAGTTACCTCCTTCTTAAAGTGAGTTCTAAAACGCTTTTTATTGATATCACGTCCTTTAAAAAATGATATCTTGCAAACGCAAGATTATTAGATAATTAAACATTTCTGTGTCACACTTTACTCCCAAACATGTATACAATTATTCGAGATACTAGTTTAAAAGTTTTTATCAACCTCTGATTTTCTTAATTAGCTTATTTTCTAATTTATATACTATTTTAATTTTTTAATTATAAAAAAAAATTATATTGATAATAATTTTCGAATTATTTAAAATATGATATAAAATACATAATTAGAATTTGAAATTGACACGGCCGCGTCGTTTCGTTATACACGATGCCCCGCGACTCGTGCCACCATTATCAGCTGTCGCCCTACTATGAGTATTTGACTGACCAACACCGCGTGTCATACGCTACGGTGTAAAGTCCAGCAAATGCCGCACGGCCGACGATAATCCGCCGAAAATGGTGCGAGAATCTTCCTCCGTTGACGAAAAATTTTTTCCTCGTTATATTATGTCATAAAGTTAACCACTCTCCATTTGTTAATCTCTCTATCTTCTATTTCTATATAAATATGAATATTTTAGTTTTATACATATAAAAAATAATTCTACCATTGATAAATTCATGTCTGAAAATGAATCATTTAATTGACTATTTAATTCATCTATAAAGAACTATAAAGAATATAGTTATCATCATTATGAGGGAATATTACTAACATCTTACCATCTTCTGATAACTCTTTTAAATGCACTACCTTATTTCTATCGATACTAGAAATGTAAGGATCCGATGAGATAAGAAGTATGTGAATTAAATCCTCATTAGGATTTAAGCGCGAATTCTTTCTGGTGTGATGTTCTCGGTACATTTTATAATCTTTATTGCGACTCTCTTGTGCCTCCTCAGATTAGTTCCCTAAAATAAATGTTGATATTTTTTATTGTAGTAACTATAATCTTTTGTGATATTACCTATAGGAAGTGGCGCATATTGAATAATAAGAGCACCGTGTAACAAAATTTTATGCACTGACGCCGGCATATAGTACCATGGATACAATGATACAAACAATTTAGCTGTTAAAAAGTAATATTCTTCAAAGGCCTTTATGTTTATTATATATCCGCTCGCTATTACCGATAAAATTGTACCACACCGTTTAATTAAATTAATATCAATTCCAGTACAGGAGGATGACAATTCAGCGTTTTTAAAAAATTTCCTTGCAGTATTGCCATCGTTCGTAGTTCCATGTCCTATAATTGGACAATAATGAATATATATTAGACAATATTAAATTGTATAGAATGAATTATTTTTTAAATTTTTTAACATTCTAATAATAAATTAGACTAAAGTATCACATACCTTGTAACACAATATCTACTAAAAGTCCCATTTCAGACCTAAATTTATTTTGATTATGTTTTTTACGAACTGTTAGGGGCTAGTTTAATAGTTGAGGATCTTGGTCAAAACCAAGAATCAGAAGCTACCCGACGTCTGCCCAAATATGGTCCCTATCTACTTAAATGAGTTTTAATTGCCTGAAGGAGACACAGGCAATCGTGTACCTTAGTTACAGGGGATAGATTATTAAATAAAATTAGACTATTGTTTTATGTCAACGACAAAGTAAAGTTATATTTTAGATGTTTAGTAAATATAAGTTATATGTAATGTACAATACGTCTGACCTGAATCCTAGTACAGTTGGTTAGTAGGGATATCCAAGTGAGACGGAGTTACGACAGATGAATAAAATACTCAAAAAATCGTATCCACGCATGCAACGTTGACAATCCATACTTATAATTTTCTGTTATGCATGGTCGATATTTAACTGCCTCAATGTCATTCATTTCGGTTGGTTTACATCCAAAAATAAAACATTTTTGGCTAGATATTCCAGTCAAAGAATTACATACCTATAAAACTATAAAGCATCTAAATTCAAGTGGCACAAGAGAGAACATGAACATTGTTTGGTCAGTTGTACAAGGGTTGTCATTAAATTTTTGTTTATATTGGGCCTGACCACTACTTCCGTCGCAGCCCCATTTATAGAAAATTTCTAATAACTTTTTGCAAATTTTTACCTCTTTGATAGCTGGTATTTGAAAAATTATTTTAGTTGTGTGATATAAAAGATTCTGCAAGGGTATTATGCAACCAGATTCACTAATTTTAACATTATCAGGATAACATTTTTGTTTAGCACTAAAAATTTTTTCAGAAGATGGATAAATATCGCAATTTCTCTCTTTAGATTCTAATCTTATATTCATATACTGTTGTTTTGTAAGTTGATTGTCTACAATAAATGCTAAAGCTTCATCAGCAGTATAAGAAATAGGTTCTTTGTTACAAGAATCTTCAATTGCCATTTTCATTTGTGGGACACTATTAGGAGACAACAGTAGTTTATTAAATAAAGGAGCCTCATTTCTTTTTACATACACAAATAACTTTTTTTTTGCTGCACATAAAATTTCAGGTGACGTCATTGATGTCATAGTTAACGCAGAGTTAATTTTTCGCCGCATTGTTCGTTCTGAACATTCAGTTAAATCAACCAAAGGTCGGCCCTGTATTGTTTTAGTAGATTTTTTTTTAATGGAAGGCATTTTAAATGGTGTAGTAAGCCATTCTAAATAATTTTTCAAAAACCTTTCATGATAACAACTAACCTTAGTCCATTTTCTAGAAGTAGCCAAACAAAATACTAATATACTTTTTTCAACATTTTTAATAAAAGGAGTACTCCAATTTGCTCCATTATATTTTTGCTTTAAAAAATCAAAAATTACTGCCCTTGAGTTATTGTTTGTTATGTTTTTTAAACTAATACCATTTTTTTTAATAACTTCAATCAGTTGTTGATTTGAAAAAAAAATGGATGATGAACAATCAGAAACTAAAATAAATGTATAAATTTAATATTGTTAAAAATTATAATATCGAAATTAAAAAAAGGTTTAATCTTAAATCTTAAACAATCCTATTATATATTATATAGCATTATGATCGAAAAAAAATTTATTAAAAATGTATAACTTGTTAAACAGTTTCTAGTAAAAAATAAATCTACACACATTTATAAATTAATTAAATAAGGGTATAAATTATTTAATAATTACTGACCAGGTGTTTTAATATCCATTTGAAGAAAGTAATTTTTAAAGTTAAAAACTTATAAAAAAAAACACTATATTGAAAAAATGAATAGATAATAGAGAGATTAACAAATGGAGAGTGGTTAACTTTATAGCATAATATAACGAGGAAAAAATTTTTCGTCAGATACATTATAATGTATTAATATACATTCAAGATAACTTAAACAATACCAAATCTTATCGATGAGTTCATATAATGTTATTTATTAATGTTAATTTATGAGGATGCCTATAAAATCATAATACGTTTTTTAGGGAAATACTCGTTTGATCTAGGTAAATGCAGTATGTACAGTTCAAATATTATCGAGCGCAAAATTTTTTTTTTCATAGTGTAGCTGATGACTTGCTCTACAACCCATAAGTATGGATTAACGTGTAATTTTGCGTAATTTTTAGTTAATCTCTTTAAACGAGCAAACTACAGAAAAAAACGAAAAAATTCGATTTTTTTTAAAGTATAAATTTGTTAAATCTACAAAAATTAAAAAAAAATTTTTTTTTCTTTTTTATTTGAAAAAGGATATCTTTTTTTATAGGAATAAAAAAAAAATTTTAATTTTAAATTATGTTTTAAAGCATAAAAAAAATGTACAAAAATAAACTCAAAATTACTGAAAATACGGATAAATATTAGAAGTATAACATTAAAATAATTCTACACCTTCACTAAATCAACTTAGGCCGCCTAAATCGGCGTTCCATTCCACTGTGCGACGCCTACAACGCTGCTAACCTTTTGTCGCCCAAGGATCACGCCGGACATCGCGTCGTGGACGCCAGCGAAAGTGCCGCGATATTATGCGAAAACTTTTATTATTGTGTTTATCTTTTCGGTTTGTTTTATTTTTTTGTTAAAATAACCTGTTATTGCTCATTAATAAACAGCCCACGGGTCTGTACCCTCAAACCCAGTGTCGACCACATTTTTGCGACGTAAGTCGTGTCAAAATAATAATAACTATATTAGTATATAATAATATCTCAAATTAATAAACAAATTGAAATTGTTATATTTTTTTATTTTACCAATTAAATTTAAAACTTCTTCAAAATTTTCATCTTTCAATGTAAGAGATATATTTTCCAAAAAAATTCTATTGAAATCTAAAAATATTAAAAAACAGTCATTTAGTAAATTTCAAAATGTTGTTTAAAAATACAAAACAAATATACCTTCTTGAACTTTGTCACGTGGTAATGTTTGAATTGAATTTTCTGATAAAATTCTATTAATTTCTGAAAATATAAACAAATAGTCATTTAATAAAATCTATCAGACATTTATGGATCGCACTTTTCCTCAAACACACACGTAAACAAAAATTAACCTATGTAATACTAGTTTAAAAGTTTTTATCAATCCCTGATTTTATTAATTAGCTTATTATCTAATCTATATACTATTTTTATTTTCTTTAATTATAAGAACAAATTATGCTGATAGTAATCGTTGATTTCCTTTAGATATAATTAAATTGATATTCGAAATAATAATAAATACTCCAGTATATTATATTATATCAAAATAATAAATAAATTTGGAATTATTATATTTTTATTTTATCAATGGAATTTGAATCTTCTTCAAAATTTTCATCTGGTAATGAAGGAGTTAAACTTTCCGTTGAATTACTATTAATTTCTGAAAATATAAATAAATGATCGTTTAACAGGTGCACATAAAAACAAACAACAAAAAAAAAATAAATTTCTTTACAGCTAGCCTTTTTTTATGGCTTCTCAAAACAAATATGAAATTCAAGAAATACTCTGCCATAACTATAATCTTGTTTGATTTTGTATTATTTAGCACTTTAATATGCAACGACATAGAGTAAAAAGTGTAATATACTACTTTATTTAAGATTTTTACCACATTGACATTTAATAAAATTGTTCATATGTTTTTAAAATATGATGTGGTTTTGTGTTTCCCTCAGCTGCACGTTATTAACCTATATGAAAGTGTATTATGATCTGAATCATAAGTGCACGATGGCCTAGTAGTAAGATCAGTTTCTACAACGCCTTGGATCGCGCGGGTTCGAACTCCGTACCATCCCTTTTTTTCCGGTACATTTTCTAAGAACGGCCGTTTTGAACGTTATTTTGACATTTTTGCATACAATGTTTTCAAAACAATTCCTTTCTACAAGAGATGATATGCATTATCTAATTTAATAATTAAATTTATGAAATTAAATTAATACAGTTGTATAGTTATTTGTTTAGGTAATTAAATAATGTAACTATTATTGCCATTCAATTGTTTTAACATGTCATTTCCAACATTTTAAGTTAATTAAAAAATAATAAACTTTTATTTTTGGTATTTTTTGTAAAATACCTATTTTTAATAAAATTTTAATTATGAAAAATAATTTTTTTTAAATTAAATTCAAATTTTTGAAAATTTATTGTTATTATTGCATACGAGATGTGACAGTAAAGTAACGAGACTTTTTATATATAACCTGAACTATCAACGTTATATAATATTATAATCATTGAAATATGTTTAACAAACACTTACTCGTGTCCGTCAACCAGATGAGTTGTAATATTTAGACTTAATAATATTCATCGGATAGTTTCTTAGAAGAACTAATACAAAAAGACCAGTTTTCACCGACAGTTATAATCAAAATATCTAAAATTTTACTAGTTCTCAGTTCAACCCCATTTGTACTTTTTATAGTCCCAATATTTATGTACTCATAAAATAAAGGTTCCATGTGGATATATTATAAATGCTTAAATTATACAATTTTCATAGTATATTTTATTAAAAAGTATATATTATGACTTCATCATTGAATGAGCAATTAAAAGTGTTTTATCTTTGAAATATTTTTATCAATTCATATTTTGATGTCACACTCATAACGTTTGTTGACTAAGAAATTATCTATAATAAAATATTTATAATTAACAAACATAAAAAATTTAATTTATTAATGGATGTTATAAATTTCAATTTTCCTATAAATGAACAGTTAGTGATATTGTATCAAAAATTGTGATATGATAGTAAGACTTAAATGTATATTTACGAATTCGTTTGATTATATCTCCATAAAATTACTATTTATTATATTATTATTATATTATAATAATTCGTATTTTATATGAATATCATAAAAATTATTCGGTGACGCTTATAAACGTATTTTATATATTACCAAACTCATACAAAATCATTAAATTAAATTGTTTTCTTTTTATCTT